CTCAGCCATAGAAACCCACTGTTTCACCTTGGACAAGTAACACTCTCTCAATCTCAGAGGAAGGCAAAGGCAACCCAGCCAGAGCCAGAAACAGCTACTAGGCACCCGCAGCAGTCTATCCTACCTTCCTGCTGCGTCACTCACTCACCTGCCCACCTGCTGCCCACCCAGACACCCACCCAAGCTGCCAGGGGCAGATGGGTGGCCAGGCGAGTAAAGCAAGGGGGGAGCTGAAAAAGGTGCCCGCTGTCCCTCCTTCTCCATTGCCTTGGTTTCCTCCTCAGCCAAGAGTGCCAGGGCAGCAAGGAATCCAAGAGGGACACTCACTCCCAAGGCTTCTTCTTTGGCCAAGAGAGCCGGGGCATGCACTTACTCACCCCTCCTTCTCTGCTGCCTTCCCTCAGAAGAGAAGAAGGGCTGGGTGCCAGCAGCAGCATTGCAAACACACAGACACACACCCTGCAGCTGAATGACAGCCTGACCAGGTGTCACCCCTCCTCTGAGGTGTCACCCAGTGTGGTCCACACTCCCCGCACTCCTAATGACACCACTGGTCCAGATGTCTCCTTATAGAAAACCGGGTGTACGTAGAAAGCAGCAGGGGAGGTCTTTCTTGCAGTCCCACCACTCTGGCAGCCATGCTTGGCAAGGAGAGCCTTCTCTGTGGCTGCTACCAGGCTGTGGAACTGCCCTTAATGGTTTTGCTATTATTAATCATGTTTTAAATAATGTTGATTTAAATACAATTTTTTAAACTTTTGTAGATTAATGTTTTTGTCGGCTCCTTTTTAAAATTATTGTAAACAGCCTTGGATTTCATTTTGGGAGAAAGGCAGGATAAAAGTCCAATAAATAAATGTAATACATTTGGTGGGATTATGGGAGAGGTCCTTCTCAGGAAATGCCCTTCCCAGAAAGGCAAAACCGGCACTTTCCCTACTCTCTTTCTGTAAATGGGTGAATCCAGGGTTTTTTGTTATTATTATTTCAGCGGGTCTTTGAAGACTGGCTGCTCAAGGGAACTGGCCCTTTATGAATTGTACTGTATTGTCTATCAGTTTTTGTTTATTTGTCATTTCTAATGGTTACAGGTGTTTTAAGTGGATATAATTTTGTAGATAGTTTAATGATATCTTTAACTTTTGTATTTAGTATATATATTTTCAGCAATGTTGCTTAACTGTTGTAAACCACTTTGAGCCCCAAACTGGGGAAAAGGTGTGATGTAAATAAATGAATCACTGTCCCATATGTACAACTTACACCACTGTCAACAAGATATGACTGTTGTGCAAAATCACCATGCATGCATAGGGCAACTTATGCCTGTGTATGTCACTAACAGGATGCTGGCCAGTGAGAGGGAACACTGACCTTTGCACGATATGGAGCAAAGGTTCTGTGACATAGTAATACCAGAATTATCTTTGCACCACCAGCCACTGTTGATGTGGAAGATGCCATAGTCTTTGGTGCCATCCCGGTGCCGATCGATAGCCTGTGAGTCAAAGCCAGTCTCAAAAAATGCCATGCAAATCCCTGCAGAGAGGGAAAGGGAAGAAACCAATGTATTAATTGCACCACCAAATAACTGGGTACCAGCCACCCCCAGTGTACTAAGCGAGGACAACACATTATGAAGCTGGTGGTGACATGGGCTGCATCTACATTGCAAAATTAATGCAGTGTGACACTGCTTTAATGGTTC